ATATCGAGAGAGTTGTGTTGGAAAATATAATATTTTGTGAACTCAAAATACCACTTACGACAAAATACCTCAAAATTACAAATGTTGTTGGCAACGTCATTACAGACAAATGTAATTTGGTCGAAGTACACATCAAGAATTACAGAGGTGAACCTATATTTTATAATCTAATAACATTAAAAATATTCGAAAATGTAAATTGACTTTAAGATATTATTGTTGTTATTTGTGTTTATATTTAAATGGTAACAATCTTAACACTTAAAAACATCATTTTTCTTTGAAAAAAAATGATGTTTTTTCTGCTTTCTATTTAATTTCATTTCTTAGTAATTCACAATTGTAGTTAAAATATAAAAAAGACACATCACAGTCATCATTAAATATCCGATATATAAACAATCACTTGTAAATAAGGATAAATTAGAAAACAGTCGTTTTAACAATCTAAGTTGATTTGTCGTTGTTTTCTTAAATTTCCAACACATAGAAACCATCTACTTAATTCTTGTTCTTTTTTTATAAGTCGCTTTAAATGAATACAAACTTTGTCATTATTATATTGAAGTTCACTATTTTGTCGCGAACACATACAAAAAACAAGAAGGAGTTCAACAAAATGTGTTTGATACAACATCTTTTTTCGAATTATTAAATGAACTTCTGTGTAATTTGTGTGATAAATTTACACCACGATTATTAACATTACAATAACGTATTTTTCACGTTATCGTTTTGCAAGTTTACTAAAAACAAAGCACTTCTGAACAAAACGACAACGCTTTTTTCCCATTGACCATCAAAAATAAAATATTTTTTTTATTTCATCAGTTTCTTATTATTAGTTTGATTTTTAGTTTGAAAACTAATAGATACTATTTTAATTATTTAACAAATAAAAAATTTCAACAAAGTATTATTGTTTACTATAACAATTAACCAGTTGTTAATAGTTTCAAAACTAAACGTTTTTATTATCAAACTATTTTAATATTCTAAGGATGAGGTGAGTTTTATTTTAATTTGCCAAAAAATATATTAGTGCAAAATAACAAAATTTTCCGAGGCATAAGTGTGGGTTTCTCGCCTCACTTCAATATAATTATTCTAAAACTAAATAACTAATAACATAAATATATTTAATACCATTTGACCAATCATTTTTAAACATTTAAAAGTGAATATAGATTGAGTATTTATGGGGTGCCAATTTTCCCAATTGTTTGCATTTAAATAGACCAATACGAATTGAACATTATCAATAATCGAAATCCAGTTTATTTCAATCCGAATTAAACTTCAAGTTTTTATATCGAAAACATCTTTCAAAGAAGTATTGTTTAAATCCAAAATTTATTTTTAATTTATTTAATTAAAATATTGTTATAAATGCTTAATGTTTATTTTGATTCAAAATTAATTATTCACGTCTTAAAGTTTAGAACATACTTGTTATATTTTTATATATTATCATATTATTAGAAATATAGTAAAATAAATTATCGTGTTTAATAAAATTTTCATGTTTTAATAATTTGAACTATTAACAAATAATTATATTAATATAAAAACCGAAAACTTTGAATTAATAATATCTAATGTTCTATTCAATTTTTTTACTTGTTATCGTTGTTTCCTCACAGACGACACCATATTGTGCCAATGTATTTGGAAATTTGTGTGTGTTGTGTGTTGACGATTACATTTTATCTGAGGACCAAAAGTCGTGCATTTATAAAAGAACAGTTGGCTGTGAGACAATAAACAATAATAAATGCACTTCATGTTCAGATGGTTACAAATTTGATTTTGACGGCCAGAAGTGTGTAATTGGTGATGAGTACTGTTTGTCTACAAAACAGTTAGACAACAATGACGTTGTGTGCACTTCTTGTATGTCGGGGACAACACTTTTGGACAGCAAAAAGTGTGTCAATTGCACATCCGAAAACAAAGGCTGTTCACAAGCATCTGACAGTTGTTCTGACTGCGATGTTTGTGAATATGGATATTACTTGGACAACACGACATGTGTTCGAATTCCAAATTGTCAAGAAAATGACCCTGAAAACGTCACAAAATGCCAAACTTGTATTGATATGTACAATTACAGAGATGACCAGTGCATGTGGTGGAATGTTCCAAATTGTATAAGTTATATCGAAAGAGGTGTCTGTGCCACATGTGAATATGGGTATACACAAGTCAGCACTAGTTGCGAATATGTTCCATATTGTACTCGATTTGACACCTACGGCTGCACTTCATGTGCAAAGGGATATGGACTTAACAACAAGAATTGCACAAAATGTGAAAAGGCTCTTTGCACTTCTTGTTATTCAGACTATTCACAATGTGACGAATGTGCAGATGGATATACTCTTGTCAATGGTCAATGCATGAAATGTACAATAAATGGGTGTTTAAAATGTGTTTCAGAGAATCCATATAAATGTCAAATATGTGCCGATGGATACACCACAGTTAATGGTCAATGCATGAAATGCGAAGTAAATGGGTGTAAAAAGTGTGTTTCGGAAAACCCATATAAATGCTATGAATGTGACTCGGATAACGGCTACAAAATGATAAAAGACACACAACAGTGTTATAAGTGCCCAGACCATTGCACCGAGTGTTCTGAAATCATCAACTCGGTGCCAATTTGCAGCGAATGTGAAACAGGATATACTGTATTTGATATGAAATGTGCTGCATGTAGTGAAGGGTGTATGACTTGTAGCGGCGTTGCACTGGAGCAGTGCAGTCTTTGTAAATATGGTTATCACCTTGATGGTGTCAACAAAAAGTGTTACAAATGCGCTGAAAATTGTTTAAGTTGTCAAGCGGAGAGTACTGATATCTGTGAAATGTGTGCGCAAGGCTATGCGATAGACAATGGCAAATGTAGAAAATGTGATTCTAACTGTATTTCTTGTGATTCATCGGACTATTCTAAATGTCTAACATGTAAAGATGGATACGTGTTGGTTAGTGATAAATGCCAAACATGTGATGAATCGTGTCAAATCTGCACTTCACCAAACGATTACCGAGCCTGTGTTAAATGTGCGAGTGGATTTTACAAAGATTCAAATAATAAGTGCATCAAATGCACAAAAGAAAATTGCAATGCCATTAATAAAGTTTCAATCTATAATATCGAAACCACTTGCAACATCTGTTCTGACACATGTGATTACAAAAAACGAGACGAAAATGGGTATTCATGTGGAGAGATATCGTTCTGTGACGTTTTTGATACAACCAGAAAAGTGTGTGTTGAGTGCCAAAGGGGGTATTATCTCAATGCGGATTATGAGTGCAAAAAGTGTTCAGAAGAGTGTTTGGAGTGTGTGAATACCGAAAAGGAGTGTAAAGAGTATTACAAAAATGTTGATAATTGTGTGTTTTATGATGTCAATCATAAGTGCAAAACATGTGAAAATGAATACAAAATGGAGAATGGTGTATGTGTGAAAGCAGGAGATTGTGTAACAAGAAACGATGAAGGAATGTGTGTCGTTTGCGAAAATCAGAAAATTGTTGGTGATGATAACAAATACCCAGCAGAATACAATGGGACTTGTAGTCGAGAGGAACACGTTGTTAACAATTCTCAAAGTATTTTCACAATACTTCTATTTGCCGTTTTCTTGATTATCTAAGCAGGGTCGGCCAAGATCCAGTTTTTAAACAACTTCGTGGCAATCTCTAATACGTGTCAGTTCATTTTTAGTTTTAGCATGTTGTCAACAAAAAACTTAAAAAGTTTTTTATTGTTAAAATGTTTAAAAAAATTGGTAAAACTATAGTTAACGATTTAAACAAAATTTCTGTGTTGTTTAAATCATCATTACAATGTGTTATAATCCAGTTTTAAAGAACAAAAATTGAACAGTAAAAAGCATATGATATTATGGGATGCAGAGTTTTTAAAATCAAATAATAATATTCACTCATTATAATTGTAATATACAGAAGATACTAACAACCAATAAAAATTATTAAAAATTTTAGTGATTTCAACTTAAAATTTTTATTTGAACAACTAATATACTTTTTCAACATACACATTAATATTAATTGTTATTTATATATATGTATATTTGTCAGTTTAACAAAGGTTTTGAATAGTTCATTTGTGTCCTTTTTAAATTATAGTATAAATTAAATAAATAAATAAAAATAATTTTATTATCTTTTGCAATTATAGAAAACTAACAATGTATTTTTTGAATTGAATAAACCACATTTCTTTCAAAAAAATGTAAAACTTATCTTTATATAATTTTCTTGATAAAAACGATTATTCATAATACGATAATAATCAGTAAAAATAATTATTATCACCCCATAAAAAACTATTATCAAAGCAAATTTAAATAAGTTTTATTTGCTTGTATAATTTACAATTGAAAGGTTTAGTGTACAATTAAATCAACACAAAAATATTATCATATTGTATTTAAAATAATTTGAAAATACTTTTGTGTCTAATATAAATTATCGTTTTATTTTTTTCATTTTATCATATGGTATAAATAATTGTGTTTTGTCATTTTCTTTTTGTTTTTCAAAAATGATAATGTTATTTACCATTTTATTGTTTTTTAAGTTTTTTTTCAATAACATGATCGTTTGGCCGACCCTGATCTAAGTGAGAAATTACTAATTTTCATTTTTTGTATTTTAATAATTGTTAATTAATTTAAAAATATACCATATAATCCGGGTTTAATTAAATATTCGGGTTTAATTCATTCAAAATAATAAAACCTGGAGCAAAAAAATAATAACAACAACATTATTAAGTTTTTAATCGCAGTCTTATATTTTTGTTTTGATTTGTGTAAATAATTGGGTTATTACTTAGATTTATCAAAATATTTATTTATTTAAATGAAAATGCATTATGATAATATTTGTAACTGTTTTTTTGATACTATACATTTTAATATACTAAGTAAAAAAATAAAAAAAAATAAATAAATAAAAAATCTATTACCATTTGGCTTTGATTGAATCACAATAAAATATCTGAATGATAATGTTGTTTTGCCAATTCAACAAAATCTTTAATTTCATTTTGAAATTCAAAGCTATCCATATTGACTCTAGTTATAACACCACTATCTTCATGTTTATTTATTTATTGAATAGTGCATATCATGTCTTGTTTTTCATAAATCAGTACAATTTAAGATTTAAATTATTTTTTTATATTTTCACGACTACAATTTTGAAAATAATCATCAATTAACAGACCATCATTTTGAACAAGTTAATTTTCTGTACAGTGGTTTTACACTCTGTTAAAAGTTCTTTGTTTTCAAAAGTGATTCTTGTATAATTTGGATTAAATGATGTTTTTATTCAACAATATTTAATAATTACTTAAGTCACTTCATTTCAACTACTTTTTAATGATTTGAATAACTAAGTTCGCTTTTGTTTATTGAGATTAAATTTAAATAAACCATTTAAGACGTCTGTTTTATTTTCAACAATACCAATCTCGTTATATTTGATGTTTTCTATTTTGTCTGTATATTTATTTTAAAAAAATTTATGATTCCTTGAACCAGCGGTTGAAAAACACTTGTTGTGTTTAAAATAGAAATTAAACACAAATGTTTGAATAAATAGTCAAAAAACACCATTTATACACTTTTCAAATAAATAACCATAAAATTATCATTAATAAACAATATAGGTTTGATCAATACATTTGGTTTGTTGTTTTATCTTTCAATTTTGTCATTCATACAACTCAAATAACTTTGAAACATAATTGCGTCCGTCAATGCGTTGTCTTGTTGGTTATAAAAAATTTCATCGGTGCAGTTTTATTTTTCATTATCATTACCAACAATTTCTTTTTTTGAACGTTACTATTTGGCATGACGGTTATTTTACGTTTGTTTGCTTTAATTCCTTTTGGTCTTTTTTCTTTGGTTGCCGTTTTATCTATTTTTATTTATCAACAATCCACTTTCTTCACAACTGTACACCTCACAATTATTGTTTATACACGCTTCTTTAATTTCTCTTATTTCTTCAATTTAACTTTCTACAATTTCATCAATTAGAACACTTCCACCAACTAAGTGAGATTGAGCTTAACTCTCCACTTATATTTTATTATATCAATATTATTTATTCATTTTCAAAAATATCCAAGCAGATGTAAATACTCAAAATTCACAATTTGAACATATCAAACTTATAATTAAAAAACTTGGGTTGTAGGGTGGACAAAAGGATGTTGTGTTTTTGTTGAATATTTCTGAAAAGGTTCAAATGTTTGACATAAACTCAAAAAATCAAAGAGAATGAATTAACATAAAAAAACCTGAAAACCATCATTCTTTGACAAACAACAAAATTTTTTGTTGTGTATGTTGAAAATGTAGACCAGAAACAACCTGTTGAACCAGCGAACGGATAAAATTATACCAACAACAAAACACAAAAAGAAAGTAGAGTAAGGTCAATTAACGATTTATAGAAAGCCAAAAACAAATATAAAATCGTTGTAAAAGCTTTTAAATAGGCCGAGCATAAGTTCATAATCAAAAAAGAAGCTTTTAAAGGACCAATAACGAACAATTAATTATATTAACCACACAATTTCAAAATTCGAAGAGCGAACTTATTTTTTGCTGTTTGTTTTGATGTTTTTATTAAAACTACAGTTAGTTTCACAATAATTACTTATTTTTCATAACAAACAGATTTTTGTTTCATAACAATTAGATTTGTACATTTGTTCAGTACTGTTTCAAAACAATTATTTTTTTGTTGCACAATTTGCGTGATTGTTTCATAATCAACAGTAAATATTTTTTTTAAATTAGATGATAATGTTGTTATTTGAAGTTGTTTAACTACATTTTATGTTGTTTTGACTTTTTAAACTAGCAACAATTTAAATGATTTAGATGTTAAATTGTATAAATTAACCATGTATTGTTAATAAAATTTTTATTGTGTATGTTTTAGTAATAAATTGAGATTGTTTAAAAGAATTAAAGTGATATTTCATTTATCACTTGGATGTTATTTATGTTTATTGTTAAGTATATTTCTATAAATGATTATAATTACAGTATTATTAATGTTATTAATAAATGTGTATTATAGTTTTCATTTGTATTGATGTAAAATAAATTTGTACACATCAGAATGTCAAGAAAAACACTGAAATAACAGAGGTTTGTTAATATTGATATCATAGACGACTTGATATACAACAAAAACAAACAACTAATTTGGTTGTGTTTTTGTTTGAAAGTTTATAAAGTGGTTTTTGATATAATTACAACGTTGTGAAAATTAATATTATGATATTTGATAAGTTCGATATTTTATTATAATTTCTGTAATAATGTCTTGATCTAATATAATTATTTTTTTAAATGTGTACATTGTTTTTATACTACAATGTACTTTGAAAATTTTTGATTTGTAATTACGATTGTTTTAATGTTTGTAATACATCTGAATATTTTTTTTGATTTAACAAACATTGAAAAAAATAATTTGGGAAAATAAGATTTTGTTTACAAAAAAAACAAATAATCTATTTATATAATTTTTATTTTTGCCATCCATAGAAACTGGTTTGTCCAGTGGGTAGAAAAAATAGATACATGTATCCAGTGGATGGGTCTTATCCAGTTATATGTCTTTACGTTGTCTCTAAACTAAAAACATAAGATGTTTGTTCTTTGTATTAAATTGAATTAAATTGAATTAAAATGAAATTATCAATTAACAAATTAGAGGCGGCTCTGTGCCGCAACGACCCGACGGAACTCTTTCTACGTCTCCAACTCAACAAGCCAGAAACCAGCCAACTCTTGCCGATTGAATGGTCTCAACTCCAGATCGTCAATTTGGCATGGTTTTCGGGGTGTTTGTCGGTTTTGACAAGAAACGAGCAGATCTTGTAATTAACTGAAATTAATGTTTTATTTTTGTTTTGATTTAAAAAAAGAAAAACCTATTATGAAAAAGAAAATGTTATAGGTATGTTTATTGGGGTTTTATTTTAAGATTTATATATTTTGTAAAAAAAATTAGCGTTTATTTAGAATATTCCGAAGTGAACAACGTTTGGGGAGTGAAGAAAATTTACAGACTGACTCTATTATTTAAACTATAAATAACATATTAATTATTATTATTGGAAACCCAATTTATTGAAATAGTTCGCTTATAAATACAAATAACTGTTTTTACAATATAAAGACACAATGTCACGACAATTTTTAAAAATTAAAAATAACCAAAAGTAATAATAAAAAATAGGAACCAACATCCATTTAATCCATTCAAACTTTAATTTGTTAATTACTTTAGATACCCAACATGCGTTGTTCTATTCAAATCATAGTACCTTATGTATTTCTCTTTTTTATATTGTTTTATTTGTGCTTTTTCCTTCACACAAATGGTAGACATCGCTTTGTATATGAAGAAATTTTGAACAACCAATCCACTGTAATAGCACCACAGCAGAATAACCCTTCTTTTCCAATTCCAGTTGGAGTTTTTCATCAACCTGAGTTTCACAACAAAATTATTGACCTTCGTACATTCAATTATGAGGGGAAATGCAGAGAGCCATTCCAATATCAACAAAACAACAAACGCGATTTGTGGTTGACTGCGGTTGGTTTTAAAAATCACGGGTACTGGCTGAATAACAAGAATGAGATATTACTGTCATATGCACTTGCCAACTCTACAATTCCGAATGCAGATCGTGTCCTCTTATTGATGCCTGGTATTCATATTAACAACTTTGTTGAACTTACAGAGAGTTATGGCATTCGTGTGGTCAACGCCACTCTTCCGCGCATTTACAATATTGAAAAGTGCCAAGACGCTTCAAAGAGGATGTTTGCATTTCACGACTTTGTATTGCACAATCGAGAGAAATACGATCGAATACTTATCAGTGACCACAGAGACGTCTTCATTTTTGCAGACTTTTTTGAGACGTTTTCAAAAGAGGAATTGGTCTTCACTGCGGAGTGCGGGAGATATAAAGACTGGTGCTTGGATTTCAACAGTGGCCCCGATGCTTATAGGTGGATGGCCCATACGTATGGGGTAAATGCAGCAAATGAATATAGAAAGAATAATTCTATATATATCAATGTGGGGACTATTTTCGGAGGGACGGGGAGGATTTTGAAGTACTTGGATTTGATGGTCAAGTCATTAGTACCAGCGAAATGGGATGCTTGGGGACATGACCAAACTGTACACGACTTCGTGTTCTACTCGTACTTTTTTCAAAGGGAAAATGTGACGATGGAAAGATGTTCACAAAGATTTTGTTTCTTGGAAAAGAAACCAATGGGATATGACGCAAAGAACAAAACTTTGATGAATATATATACAGGCTGCGCGCCAGTTATGAGACATAAAGTACCACAGATATACACTGGAAAAAATAAAAAATAAAGTATTTAATGAATATTATATCGATAAATATGATAATGTTGGTATATTCATTGTTTCAATATTTTCGATAAAAAATTATATTATCATGATATTTTTAATTATTTGTGTTTAAATCAATAATATAAATAGTTGATGAAAAGTTATTATTTGGAAAGTTTGATTTACGTTTTTTTATTAATTTTTTAAATAATTATTTGTCAAAAAAAATATTTTTTATTTTTTACACTTTGTAGATTTGTTATTATAATATGATTTTAATTAACTTAGAATTAATTATGATAATATTTGAAAGGTTGTATAATCAAATTACACCATTTATTTCAAATAATAATATAATTAATAAACATTTGATTACAACGATTGGATAATAACATAATTGTTAAATGTTTAACAAAATTGTTAAATTATTTTAATCACTTAGTATATAACATATAAATTATTCTAATTACTTTAATTGTTATTAAAATTTGGTTAACTATAATTTATTAAAATTAAATAAACAAATAAAACACAATATTTTTTTAAATATAAACATTCAAAATAAATATTATTTTAATTCTATTGATTTATCACATACTTGTTATAAAAATATATATATTAACAATTATAATATAAAATTCATTGTATATTTATTAGATGTATATTCGATATTTACACATTATTTTATTATACACAACAACGTCTCATTAATCGAATAACATTATTAAATGCTTCAATAAATTGTTTTTACCAAATTGTTGGAATTAGAAAAAAATGATAAGAATAAAATCGACTACAAAAAATTGGTTATGATTTGATGTTTTTTGATATTTGCAGAATATTTTACATATATTTTCATATTATTTAGTTTTAATCGAAGTAAAATCGATTATTTTTTAAAAATTAATTTTTAAATAACAACTCATTAAATGAAATATTCGAACAAAAAAAATAATTGAACATTTTAAAAACCATTTTAATTTCAAAATTGGAATAAATATATTAAAATACAACTCCGAATGTACAAATATAACTAAAATGTGTGATTAAACTATTAAGAAATTAAATCTAATTATATTTATAGTTTAGTATAATAATAAGTTATTTTCAGTTTTCAAACATATTTAATACATTTTGTACATTTCAATGATTTATTATGAAAAAGCCAAACATAACTCCAAAATAATAAAAAAGCGACATTTATCATTTTTTCCTTATATTAAATATTTATTAAATTGATTTTGAATAAACGTATAAATACAAAAACGACAGATTACCCATGATAAGACTAAAACATTATGCTTTGTTTTCATAGAACACCATTTTTATTATCATTAAAACAAATATCGTCTATTTTTGTCTGTGAATATTTCTTTAAAAGGGGTACTTTCACTCAGAATATCAAAATGTTCTTATTATTGTTGCTGTTCACATTCTCTCAAGCCGACTTTGACTTGACCAAAACTGATTTTGAACTCTTCAAAGAGTTTGAAGTAAAATATAACAAAAAGTATTCAACACCATCTCAACGTCTTGCTCGTCTCTCGATATTTAAATCCAGTCTTGAAGAAATTCGGAGACTGAATTCAAAGCGAAAAACACCATCAGATGCAACTTTTGGTATTAATTATTTCTCAGATTTGACTCCATTAGAAATGGGTATAAATTCAAAGAACTTTATTCAAGTTCAAAGAAAAAGTTCGACTTCCAAAAGTGACGACCTTCCGGTTCTTCCCGCTGGAGATGTCATTCCAGACTATTTATCGTATTGTGGACCTTATGTTCAGAATAACACAGACCACCCCAAAATAGACTTTTGTGCAACTCCACTTGACCAAAAAGGGTGTGGGTGTTGTTACGCAGCCGCCATTGCCAATCACGCACAGATTTTGTATGCTAATATGACGTATTACAAATACAACAAAGATGAGACCAAAATACAAAAGTTACTTTTTACTCCACAAAGATTTATAGATACCAAATATGTGCTTCCAAGCGGTTTTACCAATAAGAGATGTTGTGGTGGAAATAGTGGTATTGCTATTGAAGGCCAGCCGACTTATTCGTTACAAAAAGACTATGCCTTTTCTGATGGAACTGACGCCTCTTATAATATTCAACCGCCTTGCACTCCACGTGGAGACCAAAATGCATCGGTTGAGATTTATTTGAGGAACAAAGAATATGATATTTTCTCAGTCAATCAAGCTGGTAATCATGCGCAACAAGTGTTGGCTTTGAAGAAAATATTACATCATTATGGCCCCGTTTTGGTTGCAATTCAAACAACTAATACCGGTTTCCCAGCTTATAGAAGCGGCATATTTACATTCCCACAAGATGTATGTCAAAACGTTGTTACTGATCATCAGGTAATATTAGTTGGGTATGGTAAAGACGCTGCAACCAAAAAAGATTATTTCATTGTTCGAAATACTTGGGGTTCTTGGTGGGGTGAAAATGGCGGATTTGCTCGAGTTTCAACAGACGTTTTCTGTGGAATAGCACAAGACGATACAAGAGGCTATTTATCACAAAATTACATTTTCTTTTCAGGTAATTGTAAAATTGATCCAAATTGCAAGACATGTAATACAACAAACTTGTTGTGTACTGAATGTAAAGCTGGCACTAATAAAGACAGAAGAGGCGTTTGTGTTGCACCGGGACAATATGATTTTCAACCAGTTAATCCACCAATTAAATGTATTTCTGGGTGTTCTTCTTGTACTGATTCAACCACTTGTAATGTATGCAACACGGGGAAAGTCCTTCAAAAGGACAAGAAAGCGTGTTTGGACAAGTGCCCAAGTGGACAATACCCAAATAGCAACAAACTGTGCACTTCTTGTGGCGTTTCTTCGTGTGAAACATGTGTTACTTCACCTACTAATAAATGTGATACTTGCCCAACTAATAAATATCTGGCTGTTGATAAAACAAGCTGCTTAGCAAGTTGTCCAAATGGGCAATACCCAAATGCTAATAAACAATGCACAGTCTGTACCACAGCTAATTGCGCCACTTGTAGTGCTAGTAATGTGTGTACAACATGTAAACCCAACTACACCAAAACAGCGACAAATCAATGCACCGCCACTCCTTGTGGTGATGGCAAATTTGGCACTCAACCCAATTGTGGCAACTGCCTCGCGAACTGTAAGACGTGCACTAATGCAACAATTTGCACGGCGTGTACTGGAACTTATAAATTAAGTGAAAATAAAAAGACGTGTTATGCCACTTGTCCAAAGGGCACCTATACTTCTGGAACTAATTGTAAAAAGTGTACAACAACAAATTGTGTTGCTTGCAACAACTCAAATGTGTGTACCGAATGTGCTGCTAATTACCAGAAAACAACATCAAATCAATGCGAAGTGAAGCCAACAACATGCCCTTCAGGCCAATACGGAACTCCTCCAAATTGTAAAAACTGTCTTACAAATTGTAATAAATGTGTTGATGGCTCAAAATGTGAAATGTGTAGTGGTACTTACAAATTAAGTGAAAACAAAACAAAGTGTTACTCGACGTGTCCTAATGGGACTTATGTCTCAGGCAATTACTGCAAAAAGTGCTCAACTGCAAATTGTGCCATTTGCAACACAAATAACGTATGCACTCAGTGTTTGACTAATTTCGACAAAACAGCAAGTAACCAATGTGTTGCACAACCATGTGGTGATGGGGAATATGGTACTAAACCAAATTGCCGCAAATGCATTTCTTTGTGCCAAAAATGTACCGATGGGATTTTATGTTCACTCTGTGCTGGTGAAGCTAAGCTTCAAGAAGACAAGAAGAAGTGTTACGCCACGTGTCCTTCGGGTACTTACGCCACTGCAACTTATTGCAAAAAATGCACTACTGCAAATTGTTTGGAGTGCAATAACAATAACGAGTGCAAGAAATGCATCGACAACTTCGAGTTGAGTGGAACACCTCCAAAGTGCACTTCTAAAAGTGGAGCGTGTGGAGATGGGTATTATGGAGAAGCAGGAAAATGTCAGAAATGCAGTGTGAGTGGATGCAAGAGATGTAGTGATGGCGAGACGTGTGACATGTGCAATGAAATTTTGAATTTGGAATTTAACAAGAAAAAATGTTCGAATGCATGCCCAACTGGATATTTCGCAGATAACCAAAAGTGCTTGAAATGTGACGATAAGTGCAATAAATGTCAAGCATTGGATATGTGTAATGAGTGTAACGAAAACTTTAAATTCAAAGTCGAAGGGAAATGTTATAATGAATGTCCTGATAACTACTATGAAGATAAAACTGTGTGCAATGTATGCAAAAACAATTACCAAACTCCTTGCAATACAACTGAATGTGAAAAATGTACAGCACCACAAAACAAAAATGGTGTTGACAAGATATTCATTTTAATCGCTTTAGTCGTACTGCTTTTCCTTTAATTCCATTTAAATTTATTTGGTTAATTACGAAAATAATTATCTTTTTATTATTTGAATAAAAACAAAAATAACATTTATAACATAAAGTCGGATTTTTAATTAAAATGGAAAAATTTAACTATACATTTAGTTTAATAATAATCAATAGCTTTTTTTTCTTTTTTTTCGAAATATTTTTTTGTTTTATTTTTAAAATTATTTTCTTTTTAACCACATTATACAACCAAAAAAGGAAAGCAAGAAATGTTGAGTTTGTAATTTCATCTCTGATGAATTTCTGAGTAATATTAACAAACCGACAGACCATTTAATATAGTTAATCACGGAAGTGTCATTGTTGTGATGTGGTTAATAGGTTATACCAACTGATTTGAAAAGCAAAGAAAACGATTGACAACCAGCGTTTCTTTGAAAATGTCAAATAGTAAAAACTAATAAGAAATTTACTATTTATTTATGGTTTTTAATTAGCGATGGTCGATACTATATATTATAATATAAAAAACAGATATAGTAAATTTCCTTGTTGTATTTTTAAAATATCTTTAATTAGAAATTCGACTTTATATTTTTATTTGTTGTTCAATAAATAAAACAATTTATTTTCCTTGTTAAACAAAACTTTTTGAATTGTTTCATTTCTATTTTTTTTCTAAAAATAGCAAAACCTTACAAAAGCTTACCTTTTTAAGACTAAAACTAAAAATGGAGTTTTCTATTGAGCTGGTTTTAAGGATTGTTTGTCTAAAAATGCATGCTCTTAAAAAGTTTTCCTGTAGCTCGTTGGTTTTTTATTTTTTCAAACTATTATTTTTGCAAAATGTTATGATTTAGCATATGGTTTGTATCATATTGTAAATATATATTTGCATTTAAAAATGGTTCAAAACTATTTAATTCATAGCCTTGTATTGGATCTTAATTATTTATTAAATAAATAATAAATTACTAAATAAAATAACAATTAATTGGATAATTATATACACAATTCTTTTATTTTGTAATTATTTAAAAAATGTGAAGTTTTTTTATTCAAACAACAACTTTATTGTTTTTTATAACTGATAATTCAAAGTGTTTGAAATTATGAATAAAGTCTTTTTTAAAACCATTTTTTGTGGAAATTATTCTCTGTACACCAACTGACTAATGATTGGAGTCTGTGACAATTATTAAAAAGTGATTAAATATTTGCAATTATTTGAATCAAAAACAAAAAATCACAAAAAAACAAGATGTTTATTAATATTTAAACTTAATTTACTTACGAAATGTTAAATGTTTTAATTCTTAATTATAAATAGAACAGGTATTTTGATATTGTTTTAAAACATACATTTGCAACTAGATTTTGCAATTTCGTTTACATTAAACTGTTTAAGGAATTATTAATAATTTTGATCCCCCTATAAAGATATAAAAGCATTTTATTACTCAAAATACACATGTTGATTCTTTATCTTATTACAATCGCTTCAGCAAAATACTACCTTTTTCCGTATAATGACGGAAAAACCATGGTAAATATACTAGGTCGATGTTATTATAGTGATAATGGAAATTATACTAAATATAAAGAAAATGGCAATGAAATTCAAATGTTTACATCTACAAATTGTGCTGATTGGGAAGACGAAGGGAGTATACCAATACCAGATAACGCACAGATTACAAACAAATTGCCGGACTATTATTACGTAATCAAAGAATATTATAATCGTAGTGATTGCAAATTTAGCGAGAGTAATGCTTATCCATCGGAATTACTTTATACACAATGCACGAAAGATTCCAATGGGTTTGAACATGCCGAGATAAAAGATGGAAAGATGACAATATCGTTTTATGGGTCTGATAACTGCTCTGGTAATACAAATTCAGAACCCATTATTATTGAAGTTGATAAATGTGTGGAATTTCAAAAAGAACATCGTATTGTTTCAAAAAGTGCAACTGAAATTCCATTTGAAAGCTCATCCGACGTTTCTTCCAAAAGCTCACATGAAATGTCTTCTGAAGGTGCATTTAACATTATGGCATGCCTTGGTCTATTTATTATGTTCATGTTTTGAAATTAAAACAGTTTATATTGGTATTTTTTATTTTTAATGCAGTGTAACAGCGTTAATAATTGTTTCATTATTATGATTTTTTATATAACTTTAACTTTTCAATTGACACATGAAATTCCATAAAACAACAATTTTAATGTCTGAATTATCAAATCTTGAGTTTATTGAATATTTATTTTAATATACAAAATGTAAAAAAATAAAAATAAGTCCAAACACCTCATTTATTAATAAAAATGTTGCTAACTTATGTAAAAAATAAATCCAAAAAATATAAAATGAATATAACTATTCAAAAAATAAATAACCAATAACACAATTTATAACATTAATTAGGGTTAGATTATTTGAAAATCATTTTAAATTATTTAAAAGTAAATAAATACAGTTGATTTGGTAATTGAACAAAATATTAAGAAAATATTGCATACGAACCATGTTATTGGCATCATTTACTCGATGAATTTTGCTTTTAGGCACAATAACTTTACTACATAAAAAAAATTTTGTGACGTAAACACTTTTAAAACCATTTCATTACAATAACTTTTACTTAACTACAGAACTTTAATTCAATGTTTAAGTCTGTCTTGTTGTTCTTATTGTTTATGATTTATCTCACTGTTATCAATTACATTTGGTAAAAAATAAAGTTGTTTGTTGTCAAATTCTCTTGCTGTATCTATTGTATTGAACAACAGAAAGGTTCGCCCAATCGCTGTTTTTAACAAAGTCTTTTTTTGTTGTTGTTATTCTTATTTGAGTAAAAAATGTTTGTTATATTTATTTTTTTGTTGTTGAATACGTTTAATGATTATCAATCGTTTGCTGAATGTCTAACATTTCAATAATTTATTTATTCTTTAATTTTCATTATTTTTATGAACCACATAATGCTGAACAAAAAGTGACTCATCAAATCAACTGAATGAACAGAGAAGAATACACTTATTTGATTGAAAAAATGAATGATCGGTTAAATTGAATGGTCATTTTGAAGTTAAACAAGGTTGAACAAAAGAATTATATTTTATAATTAAATAATAATTAATAATAATAAACTTAAGAATATAGCTCATATTATATTATTGTTTATCCAAACTTAAAACAATAAATTCATTTTTTTCTATTATTTCATCCCGAAAAATAACCATTTTTGAGACCAAAGAATAAGAAAACTGCAAACTTATTTATATCTTTGCCCGTTTTATTTTATTTTATAAATATCCGCTTAATATTAAATAACTATAATTAGTCCGGTCCAAATATTTTATGGTAATTTCCATTAATTCCGATATCATAAATATAATTATTTGAATATAAAAATTTTTTATGTTTTAAGCAAACATTGAATTTATATATTGGCGTTGATTAAATAAAATAAATGACCTAAATAATTTTAGTTAAAAAATAAAATTTATAACTATAATTAAATGGTTTTTAAATTTTCACTTCAAAAAATAATCGAAAACTTTTTTTAATTGTTTACTTAATATTTAAATATCATGTTATGTCTGTTTTTAATAACAACAGTAATAAATGCCGCAACAACATGTGGTGGTGGCCAGTACCTCTCAGGAACTTCTTGTATTTATTGTCGAGCGGGAACTTATTCCTTGGGCGGAACAACAACATCATGCACCTCATGTTCTGCGGGCTCCTACTCAAACTCCGGTGCTTCTCAATGCAGTAAATGTCCTGTTGGTTATTATTCGTCAAATTATGGGTCATCGTCGTGTACCCAGTGTTCTGCTGGTAAATATGCTTCCGGCACTGGGTCCACTTCGTGTTCAACTTGTGCAGCGGGAACGTATTCTTTGGGTGGAGCTTCTCAATGTACTCAATGTACCCCGGGGCATTATTCCACAAGTGGAGCTTCTACGTGTTCAAGTTGTTTTGCTGGTACATATTCGTCGTCGTCTGGATCTACTACATGTACAAAATGCTTTGCTGGATATTATTCCAGTACTGGATCATCAAGTTGTACCCAATGTGCTGCTGGAACATTTTCAATTAATAGTGGGTCTTCCTCTTGTAGTACATGTAATGCAGGGTCTTATTCTAATAAAGGAGCATCCACATGCAATTCGTGTCCTGGTGGGTATTATTCCCAATCTTCTGGCAGTGCTTCATGCAAGGCGTGTGCTGGAGGAACATATTCAAATTCACTTTTAGCGTCAACAAACTGTTTAAAGTGCCAACAAGGTACATATTCCAACATTGGAAGTGCTTATTGTTTCAATTGTTTGGCAGGGACTTATGCGGCTAAAGAGGGTAGTTCTTCTTGTGAACCATGTGCAGATGGGTTTTATTCCACAACTAAAAGTTCGGTGTGTGTACAATGCGTTTCCACAAGTTGTGGAGTGTGTTTAAAAAAGACGGGGGAGTGCACTTCATGTAATGTTGGCTATTCGTACGATTCGTCAAATAAGAACTGTTCAATATGTCCAGCATCGTATTATTCGAGTGGCGGAACTTCGTTGTGTTCAAAGTGTACGACTGGGTATTACTCACTTGGTGGTTCAAGTGGGTGTAGAACGTGTTCCATAAGTTGTAAAATGTGCGACCAAACAAATGGAAACTGTTTATCTTGCTATGATGGATATTTTCTGAACGGTAAAATGTGTGACACATGCCCAGCTGGCACGTACCAAAGTGGTGGAAGTTGTGTAACGTGTCCCGACATGCAATATTCGTTGGCAGGAAGCACAACGTGCAAAAGTTGCAGTTCGATGTGTTTGAGTTGTGATAAGACAAATGGATATTGCACGTCATGTGAGTCGGGTATGGGAATTACAACAACAACATGTTCTGTTTGCAGTGCTGGTACATACAGTGTTGCAAACAAATGTGAGTATTGTCCACTTGGAACATTTTCATCATCACCAAAAAGTTTGCAATGTCATCCTTGTGGAGATGGGACTTATGCCAGCACAACAGGATCAACAAGTTGCAAAACGTGTAATGTTTTGTGTCAAGGACCATGCGAAAAAACAAGTGGCAAGTGTGTAGCCTGTGTGAGTGGTGCTGTTCTATCGAATGGAGTGTGTTCACTGTGCATTTCAGGAACAATGGCAAATCAAACAACAAACAAATGCGACACATGCAAGGCGGGTACATATGCCGGTGAAGGCTCTTCTGAGTGCAAAAGATGTGGAGAAATGACATACTCAACTGCCGGATCGTTGTCATGTCAGCAATGTGACACGAAATGTGATGGGTGTGATGCGACGAATGGGTATTGTGTCAATTGTGTGATTGGGTATGGTCTAGCAGCTGGAAAGTGTGCCATATGTCCAAGGGGGACTTACTACACGAGTTCTGTGTGTCAGAGTTGTGGTGAGATGGCATACCAAGACGTTGAGGGACAAACCATTTGCAAGTTGTGCGACTTGTCGTGTGCAAGTTGCAATGCAACAAATGGAAAATGTCTCACATGTGCTGCTGGATATGGCTTTGACAGTGGAGTGTGTACGTTGTGTGGCGACCTCACATACTCAGAAGGCGGTGTTTTGCAGTGTCAACAGTGTTCTACTGAATGTAAAAAGTGTGACAAAAAAAGTGGTGCGTGCACATCATGCGAAGTCGGCAACAAGAGAGTTGACAATGGTTGTGTGTCGTGTGCTCCATCTGGATATTGCGATTTGTGCACAGACGAGACATCAGATGGGATTTGTGTATCATGTGAAGACGGATTTTATTTGAATAAAGATGGCAATTGTCAACCATGTGGTGATATTCACAACGACTGTCTGACGTGTTCAAAAACAACAAAAACGTGTCTATCGTGTGCGGGCAACATGATATCAACTGGCACCAGTTGTGTTGAGTGTGAAGTTGGGATGGTCAAAGTCACAGAAACGACGTGTGACTACTCGTACAATGTCATCCCAAAGTGTCAGATTGCAGACCATTTCAATAATCAACACATTTGCACCGCCTGTTTTGCGCCATACGTCACTTCAAGTGACTCCAAGGCGTGCAATTTGGGATACACAACTACAACATACTACAACACAGATGATCACAAATTACACACCAACATGAATGGGTGCATCAACCAAATTGATACAACGTGTTACCTATGTAATACAACAACGATGTTGTTGAACGGAGTTTGTAATGTTAAGAATGAGAAGTGTGAGAAATACTCGCAACACGGCTGTGACAAATGCGTTTCAGATGTGATCACATCGAATGGCAACTGTGTTGTTAACACAAATTGTAAATATGAAATCAACAGAGAAAGTGGCACCGAGTGTTTGTATTGTGTTGATGACGTGTCGTGTGGCAAAGCAAAACAAAATTGTGAAACATCACACAACGAGTACTGCTACTTAGCAGTCAGTGGGTATCACACCACAAACGACAACACCATTGAACAATGTGAGAGTGAAGTGTGTGTCGTTTCAAATGGAATTATCACAGATTTGAAATGTAAAGAAAACAAATTGTTGATAGATGGCGTGTGTACAACTAACACCATGTGTATAGTAATGTCGTATGGTGATTGTATCAAGTGTGATGCAAAACAACACATCTCACATGGTATGTGCTCACAAAACAATCCAAATTGTGACAATCAGAACGGAGATATTTGCATTGTGTGTAACAACTCCATCAACGTTGAAGGTGTGTGCACAGACAGCCAATCGATTCATTGCTCTTTATTTGACAAAGTGTGTGTCACATGTGAGAGTGGCTATTACAAAGATGTTGATGGCTGCAAAGAGAAGACTGGCGTTTTGTCTAATTGTGGTGTTGTCTCGTCACTCAACACCAAATGTGTCGAGTGTGAGTCCGATTACAATTTCGATGGATATTTGTGTATGCCACAAACACTTTCAAATGAGACCACCAAACAAACAACTAAAAACGAAGACACACAGACAGACAGCCATTGTGAAGTGAGCACCACAAAGGGGTGTCTGAGGTGTTTGAGTGGGTATTACCTCGCAGACCACATGTGTGTAAAATGTGATTACCCCTGTGTCTACTGTTCGAATCGGACATTCTGCACAAAGTGTGACGACTACTCGTATGCAAACAGCAACGGCGTTTGCACTGAAATCAACGCACTTGTCAGTGTGTGTGACGTGTTGATGTCAACATATCGCGGGTGTGTAACTTGTAAAGATGGGTACATGCGGTCATTTGATGGATCAACGTGTATAAATTGCGATGTGTCATGCAAGTCGTGCACAAACGAAGGAAATTGTGTTGTGTGTAATGAGGAGTTTTATCGCACTTCATCGAATGTCACCAAATTGTGTTCACCACAAAGCGAGTTGACTTCGTGTGCAAACAAAACAACAGCCGGTTGTATGCTATGCGAAGGGGGACACTATCTCTCAAACAATTTGTGTGTGAAGTGTCAAGAAACATGTACACAATGCAATGGCATCGATGAGTGCACTGATTGTGTGAAAGACAATGTACTTGTGTCAGGTGTCTGTTCACACTACACAGCCATTGAAAACTGTGTTGCGTCTGCCAACAACAAATGTTCAAAATGTGATGACAACTACAAATTGAGTGACGACATGTTGAGTTGCATTCACACCACTAATTATGGTGTTGTTGTTGGCATTCCAATTGTCTCTGTATTTGTGATAATACTCATTATCATTAGTATTATAGTAATTACAATAGTCGTTTTGCAAAAGCGCAAGGAAACAAAGAAAATGGAAAACATCTGTGTTTTTAAGATGAGTCGTTCAAACATCGCAATGAGTGTGTTAGACGCCAACATTTTAACAAACAAAAAGTCGCTGCCATTTGATGACACGTGTGAAGTCATTCCCGTTGAAATGGAATCTCGCGAACTCCTCTGTGTTGGCAACAAAGGCAAAGGCATTTTGAAAGTCCAAATGACAACACGTGGCGGCTGCGACAAATACTCAATTCGCACAGAACCGCAATTGGTGACTCTGAAGAGAGGTGAGGCGTGCGAGTTTGAGGTGTTTGTGACACCACACTGCTCACTGAAATTACACGACGAGATGATGATAGTCACAATGAACATCGAAAACAGTGAGACTGTGTCTGTCCCAATTGCCATTGAAATCACAACAGAAAACTCGACTAAATTGGATTACGACGAGTTGAAAGAAGACAAGAAACTTGGCGAAGGCTCGTTTGGCGTTGTTTACAAAGGAAGTTACAGAGGAAATGTTGTTGCTATCAAGAAAATGAAACAATCAAATGATACAGACAAACTCATCGAAGAATTTGAAAATGAAGTGTCAATGTTGGACAAATTCAGAAGTGAGTATATCGTCCACTTTTATGGAGCTGTCTTTATACCAAATAAGATATGTATGGTCACAGAATTTGCACAATATGGAAGTTTACAAGACTTGATTAAACATAAAAAGAACGAACAAATTCCGCCAATGAAAATACGAGTTAAAATGATGATTGATGGAGCTAGAGGTGTATTGTATTTACATGAGAACGGGATATTACACAGAGACATCAAACCAGACAACATTCTTGTTATTTCACTTGACTTGAATGAAAAAGTCAATGCTAAATTGACAGATTTTGGAAGTGCAAGAAATGTCAACATGTTGATGACTAACATGACATTTACAAAGGGTATTGGAACTCCAGTGTATATGGCTCCTGAGATATTAAACAAAGAAAAGTATAAGAAGGCTGCTGATATCTTCTCATTTGGAGTAACTATGTATGAAGTTTTTGGGTGGTCTGAAGCTTATCAAAATGACACGTTCAAATTTCCATGAAAAATCGCTGAGTTTGTGATTCACAACAATCGGCTGAAACGAAAAGACCCAATAGAAAAAGAACAGTACAACATCATCACACAATGTTGGTGCCAAAACCCAAAAAGTCGTCCACAAATGGAGATGCTGGTGGAACAACTTTTTAAACTACTTTGATTGTTTTTTTTTCAAATATTTGTTTAATTAAAAAACAACCAAATTGCGGTTTTTTTTCGCATATAAATTATCACTGAGATAATGTTTTATAACCAAAAAAACTATTTAACAATTTTCAATCAATAACTCTTGACAAAATTATAAAAAAACATGTTTTTTACAAAACAAAATTACCATAAAACCTCAATATTTTGAAACTTAAAAACAAGTCATACACTTATTATCTTAAAAAAAGACCTTATGTCACGCCTTGAAATGATATACATGATGCAAGTCACTCTTTATTTCCCAACATTGAGTGACCTCTTTACCTTTATTCAAGTAAATCAATCTGCATATTCTGCAGTCAAATCTCTTAAAGTGAATCCATGGCTTGATTCAGCACCAGACATTGAACGGTTTTACGACTTATTCCACCCAGACACACTGAACTGTAATTCCAAATCAGTGTTATTTGAATATCTTTTCAAGCCTGTTTTCATAAGAAATTATATAACACAATGTGACGATGTTAAAATTATTGAAAATATTACACAAGAAATTTGTGACAAGATGCAAAGCGTTGTTATTGGTAATGATAATAAGAACACCGACCCACTTAATTTGTTTCAAATGATATCAGAAATTTTACATCAGAAAATTACTATGCCAATCATAGTTTTTAATAATTTTCTAAACTACTTTGAACAACATGTGGATAATTCAGAGTTGTTCCCACGACTTGTGTTCATCATTTTTGATATGAATTATTTATCAAATTTAATGGATTCTGTTGAAAGTCAATATCAGAAAAACATTTTTAAAAGAATTAACGAACTTCCAAAGAAATATAAAACACAAATTTGTATAGATTGGACAAATGGATTATCATATTTAAAAAATTTGATTTTAACACAAAATTGCAGAAATTACTCGAACGAAGTACCAATTGAATATTTAGACTGTTTAATACCTTTAATTCAACAAGACAAATTGATATTTTCTATTATGAATATGACTCAAAATTCAGAGTTACAAAAAATCGAGAAAGTTGTAGAAAATTGTGCAGCAACAAATATCACCATTATAACTAAAGAGTCTCACTTAAGTCTTTTGGTTCTCCCAAAATGCGTCAAAACACTTTCATTGGTGTTTGGAAATATTTCAAAATCAGTTGGAATGCAACAAAAACAAACCAATTTAGTGACTCTCCCCGATGTTTTGAATGTCGAGGAGTTCACAGCAACGGGAATGTCCCTCCAATTTTCAGAGCGTTTTAACACTATTAAAAAGGTCAATTTGTTTAACACTAAACTTATCAAAAAGAAACGAGAAGTACACGAGAAAACGGAACAACCTGAAATTAATGATACAAAACAAATTTACGAAAATGACCAACTGTTTCCATTTAAAAATGTCGAGGAACTACATTTGAACCGTTTTGATGATTATATCTTTGAACAACTTAAACACTTAAAAATGGTGTCTTTACACAACATGAACAACGTTGAGTTGTTTATTAATAAAGAGTGTGCTAATAACATTTTGTGTACTGATTGTATAAATTGTGTGTTAAGTATCGACTGTGAAATATGTGACAAGTTTGAATTCAAAGATTGCCCAAATTTCACTTTCAACTTTTTGAATACAAATAACAAAAATTTGAATATCAAAATTGCAAACTCAAGTGGTGCAAAAATATCATCAGAAAACGACTGCATCGAGTCACTTCTTCTTTACAACAATACAAAATTTGATATTGCAAAAAACACAAAAATAGAAAAATTGGTCATTTCAAATTCAACACTTCAAAATACAACAAATGTAAAAGCCACAGAAGTCGTCTTTGAAACAATTTCTAAATTTGTTCATTTGGATTTCACAAATACAAAACGTGTGTTATTATTTAATACCGAAAATTTGATCTTCCCAAACACATTTGAAAATTGCGAAATTTTTAAAATCGAGTTTTGCAGAAATTGTGAATTTGTTTTTGAAAATTCTAAAATGAAATTTTTAAAAATTGTTTCATCACAGGAAGTCGATTTTAAAGGCAATTTTAATTTACTTGAAAAAATTGAAAGTTTGGACTCGACATACACATTCCCACAAAATTTCGAATATTCAAAACACCCCATTTGTCCAATTGAAAACAATGAAATTGAGACTTTTGAATTTTATACATCAGATAAGTACGAAATGCTTAAAGAAAAGTGCTTATCAGATAAAATCCCTAATCCACAACAAAACAGGAAAATTATTAATTTAAACGGATTTAAAGCTCAAAAAGGTCTTTATGTAAATTTATCAGAGAAAAAACAAAGTAAACAACGCCGAAACGTGTTTGGCGCTGTTATCGATGAGCACCAACAGAGTTTAAATAAAAATCCGTCACTTCCGTCAAGTGTTACAAACAAAGAAATTTCAATTACAAGTCGAAATGTCATTATTAACAATTGTATATGTGACACACTCATAATCGAACAAAAAATGGATTTTATCCCAAATTTGAAACTAAATAATTTTATTGGCAAATGTCCGGACTTTTCTATATACACTTTTGGAAGAATAGAAATGGAGAAGTGCCATTTTGTTTCTTGTGTAAAATTTGGAGTTAAAGATCCGACCATCAATGTGGTCGAACTTTATATAAGACAATGCAAGAACTTCAGAATTGGGTTGATGAGTAAAACTAAAATAGTCGACATTGTCGAGTCTGAAGGATTTATGACGTTTTCAGCAAGTATTGGATTGTACAACAGAGTGACCTTCGTACGGTCTCAAATAGTAATTTTAGATAATGCCGGAGTTGTTGGAAGTATAAAAGAGTTGTGTTTGGACTCCACAGAGTGTCCCACTTTATTTGAGCAAAAGTGTGTGAACTATTACGTGATGAAAAATGTCGACAACGTCGATCATGAATTGTCTATAGGTGCAAAATCATCACTTTTTGAAAACTGCACTAATTTTGTCGTTGTTTTAATAAATGATACAGCGAAAGTCGTCTTGAAAAAGTGCAAAAATTGTTTTGTGTTGTCAAAACAACGAGAAAATGTCGAACAAACTGAATGCGAAAACATTGACGTCTTTAATGATTATGAAACCTTGAAACAAAGACTAAATCAAAAAAGAGTTGCTAACAATCCTCAACAACACGATATATTAGCGTTTCGACAAGGTTATAATCAAAACCCTAATTATGCTTTAGGGTTTAATTAATTTACTTTGATCTTATTCATTTTTTTGTTTAAATTGTATTTATTTGTTGTTTTAAATGATTATTAAGGTGACCTTGAAGATTCATCAAAATGCTTGGGCTTATAATAATTATTTAAAGTCAAAAACATATTTAAAAATAATTAAGAACTTGTAAAAAAGGTTTAAATGCGTGTCAAATAATTGTAAATATAAAAAAATAATTAATTAATTATTTTTTATGTTAAAAAAAATGATTACAAAAAAATTTGGTTAAAGACTTGCGACATACTTGCACTAAGCGCCAAACCTGCACTAGCTAACGTGGCAATACCTTTTTACAAAAAAACATGGACAAAATTAGATAAAATGAAAAAAAATAAATAAAAAGAAAAGTTGATGGAAAAAACTTGGGAAAATTGAAATATCATTTTAAAATTTATAATGAAAAGAATGGGACTTACATTGACCACCACCACTTTTACCAAAAAAATATTTGCCGCAAGTGTTTTTTGAATGAAGTCCATTTATCAGCCACTGTTTGTGCGTCCCCATGTCACCCACTTTCCCTGTCCGTACTGTGTGGACGCGGATGTGGTTTCCCCCACTTGCGGGGGGGGGTTAGGGGTATTGCGCCAAGGGAGGACTTGGAAAGTGGGTGAAACGGTGCACAAACAGACTGTTTGAGTGTGTCTTTATGAGCCTATTTTTCAATGCTCCGTCTTACTCGTTATCCACTGACTCGAGGTGAATTTTCGGCATTTTTTGAATTCTGGAACCAGACCTAATATTATCCCAGTTTCCTATTTACTATGATTTTAATTTGAATATGATTCGAAATAGAAAAAATTTAATCTATTTTAAGAGGTGGTGGTCAATGTAGGTCCCATTAAACTTTATTGAATTAACATTAATGTTCACAAAAAAATAATACAATAAAACCCCCAAGAATTCAATTATGCGTTTACAATTTGATTTGTTATTGGATTACATGGCTCGGAGCAGTCTTCTCCTTCAACCATCTCTTCGCCTTCGGGATTATCTGTTCCTGATTCGTCATGTAAAGAACAATTCAGTGAGTTTCCTGGCTCAAAGGAAGCTCTCCCATGACTCATTAAGTCATCAGATCCTTCGTACTAGAGATTGTGACAACCCCAATTATCTTAGGTAGGTCCAATATGATCTTCAACAACTTCTCTATCCTTTCCACAGAGAGTTTGTTTATCAGTCCGCTGATCGTTATGACCACAGGAACAGTGGTCACACTTCGCGGATTCCTTACACTTCGAAGCTTCTCACAAAGTGTGCTGTATTTTGACATTTTTGGAATTAAGCAGTGGCGAGGTTTTCATTTTTTACAATTGTGATATCAACTACATAACCCTTTTTGGCTTCATTGTCTTGCCAATAAATGTCGGGCCTTCAAGCAAAACTTTGCCTTTCATCACAAAGTAGATTTATTTTGGCAATGACCACATTCTTCTCCCCCTTCGTCGTACATGTCTTTGGGACGCACTGTCATTGAGGTGTTCTCATCTATCATCTTCAGCTTCTTTAGCAGTGCCATGTGGATTTTGTCACAAACTACATTGTGCCTGGCTATTTGAAACTTCTTGGTCATTGGACAACTCAGCAAGATGTGTCCTATGTTGCCAATCTGGTCTTTGCAGCAGTAGCATTGTGCATCAGACTTGTCGCTAGTGATAATTGCCTTCCTCGTCCCACAAAGGTTGGCTTGAATCGTTCGTTAATATTTGTACAATACTTGATATTTTTTTTCATTTCTTTTTTTTCCAATTATAGGAGGTCTATAAACTGGTTGGGATACATAAACTAGTTGGGAAATGCTCCAAAACTTCGAAATTAATACAATGTAAAACATAATCAATTAATATTTATTGTTATTATTCAAAAAAAAACAAAACCCTTGATTTTCCGTTTTCGCTCACTTTTTGGAACAATTTTGATTTATTTGTTTGTGGTAGGAAAATGGATTTATTAACTGGCCAATAATATGAACGCTTTTTGTAAGTCAAGTATTGTATTTGTAACTTCTAAAAATAAAAATTTCACAAATATTGTTTTGTAACAAACCCGTTGCAAAGTGACGGGTAAAAATTTGCAATAATTTTTGTTTTTTGGAACGAAAAATGAAACCTTTGTTTTTGTATTTATCTAAAAAATAGTCATCGTTTCTCTCAACGATGATATTTATTTCAATATGTTTAAACACGAAGTGTTATGTATGATACATGTGGGATAATGTTATAATATTATTGTTCGTCATAAAGGGTAATATGTTAAAATGTGTGTTTTAAAAAGTTAAAAAACTAATCCCTGTTATATTAATTTATCTTTTTTATTTTGATAAATTAGAATTTCAAATTGTTGTAATGGACTCTTTGATAACATCTATTGAATAAAAAAATTGAAATGAATGATAGGTAAATGCACTACATTTATAATTGTAAGGTTGTTGATTTTTTGAAAATAAAATGAAAAATAAGTTGTTTTGTTGATAGTAAATTATAATATTGTTTTAGTTTTATAAATTAATAAAGTCAACTTTAATAAACACATTCTTGGATATCAAGAGTGAGTTTTGTTGTTAATAAAAAGCTGTTAATAACATGTTAAATACACTGTTTGAAGGTTGTGTGTCTGATCACTGTTATTTATTAAAGAATAAGTCGATGTTTGAATAATTATTCTAAATAAAATAATAAACTAATAAACTAATAAATAAGCATAATAAATATTATTAATAATTATAACATATAATAGTATAATATAACATACATCTTAAGTAAAAACATTTATAAAAATAATGTTTTTTATTAAAATAATTTCAAAAAAATTAAATCAACATTTATTGCCATAATAATTTCAAATGAATCTCAATAAACAATTGAAATTTAATAATATATTATATTAAAATATTAATTGTATTAATCAAAAACATTGTTACGTTTCAATTCAAATTTTAAATAAGATAAAATTACATAAAAATATAATGGATTAAAAAGTCAACAGATTTAAAAAATCGAATTTTGGACTATAAAAAAAATATTTTGAACTCAAAACAATAATTCATTACAATATTTATAATATGTGAAGAAAAAGTGTGATAAAATATAATATATATTGTGTGTGAGAGCGAGATAATTTAATTTGCCACGGTTGTTGACTACTTTTTGTGTAGTGTGTGAACAAAATGTTTAAATGTGTGTTATATGATTAAAAAGAGAACGCAATTCTCTTCCGAAATAATATATTTTATCCACAAAAATATAAATGATTCGTTTTTATTCATTGGTTATTCATTGGTTTCATTGGTTTTTTACTAATTTTTAAAATTGCAAAACAACAAAAACAAAAATAGAAATTAACATCCTTTATACTTCCCAAAACTGCAGAGCAGGGTTTTTCTTTTCCAAAATACGTGTAAATATTGTTTTTTCCTTTAAAAGTTTCTAATAAATTCCCCAACCAGTTTTTAGACTCCCTATAACACAATCTATTTGTGTACTACTCACAATATTTTGAATCTTTTTTAAATTAAAACTTTCAAGTGTTTCTCCTTCAGATTCAAAAAAGCATTCAAACGAGTTTTTAGAATGAAGTTTTGCAAAAAAAATAGTATCCAACAACAATTCAATATTACAATTTATTTTTTTATCAGTGTAAAACCGATTGACTTACATTTGAATACACATTATAGTGGTTTCTTGTTTGATTTTCTTACTTTTTGGATTTGTCGTTTCAGTTTGAACTTTTATGTCGGTTTCATTTATAATGTCCAACAAATGATCGATAAATTTTCCAAAAGATGGTTTTGGTGTAAGAATGGTTCGAGAAAGCATGCTGTGAAAGGATTCTGCTATATTGTTGGTGCACATCATTGAATCGAAGTGGCACCAAATCGAAATCATTACATCATTTAACCAAGTGTTTTCGAAATATTCATAAACAATAAAAGAATCTTTACCTTTTAAACGTGATTGTAATATATAAAATTGATGTTTTAAATCTGTTTCTTTCAAAAAGGAAGTGTGATAAGTCTTCTTACTTCTTTGGAGAATTGCCCATTACACTTATATTTTTCAGACAAACCAAAGTTTTGAATTTTCCGCCACAAACATTGTGTAAAATGGAAATAACACTATTTCATTTGACAACTCAAATCTCTAATAGATTTTATAAAACCTGCCTCGAAATCGGAATATATTGTCGAATCGGTTCTATTAAAAATTGGAACACCAAATAATATCAAATATATTTGATCAATAACAAATAATACTTCGTTGTATACTGTTGCATCTTTTTTATTTAACAAAACATAAAAAAGAAAATGAAATGTCACCAACTGATAATAGGTTGTTGGGCACCTACTAAAAGTGCCATCTACACAAATAACATTGGCGTATGTGGCTTTTTCTAACAATGATTTCGAACCAATAATTATAATTGTATTGTCTTCGTTTCTATACAATAAAATGTCCTTTACTTTTTCACTTTCAAAATAATTATCAATGGTTACTGTTTTGTATAATTTATTTTTATATGTTCTTGCTAATCTACCGGACACACTCAGTCTTGAATTGGTGTTTATTAAACAAGTTTTTTCTATTTCTTTAACTGGTTTATATTTGTTTTTATCATCATAGATTTCTGTTCTGATTTTTTGTATTTTTTTAATCTCTGAATATATTCCATGTGATTTGTATGACCATTTAAATGCTGTGGCTTTGGTCCAACAAGATAATTAACTTCTTCATCAACAACTTCTTTTACAAGTGTAATAGTTACTCCACAATCTTTACAACTATACCGTTTATGTGAAGAGTCTTTTGAATAAAAAATATAACCTTCAAAACAAGGTAAAAGTGTTCTTTTTGTTGAATAAACAAATTCAACTTTGTGTTCTTGAGTTGGACTGTCCATTTGTTAGTAATTTTGATTGTTATTTTTAGTTTTTTATTTGTATTATATATCGATTATCTCATGTTATAAACAGAAAACCT